CAGTAAAACCTGCATCTTACGTGTGAGTGCTGTGATCGTGGCAAAGAGCACCACCCTCCTTTTCCTTCTCTCTGCCACAATAAATATTTAATTACCACCCACAGAAAGTAAGAGATTCAGCAGCAGAGTTGAAAAGCTCCATCCCAGAAGTTCCTGTCGTTCAGGTCCTAGGGTATTTCTTATGGTGTATATCCACATCTCCTCAGGCAGAGAATGGGCTGGGCCAGGACACCTTATGAAGCAGAGAACTTCTCAAACACACAAGTCACGGAGAAATATGTTCCCCATCTGCTTCCTGAATATGTGGCAAAAACTGAAATGTGCAACATGGGACTGGAAAGGGGCCTTTGCAGACATTTGGTTTTGTGAGTAGTACTACAAGTTTCAACATTTTGTTTGAAATATGAACTAGGATGTAAGAAGCTCTGTTTTTTTTTAGGTAGATACAGTGATACAAGCATTTAAGAAGCCTCACAGGGGAAGCTGAAGTGCACAAAGAATTCAGATATCTTCAAAGCTGCATGTGCAGAATTTAAATTTCAGTTTTTCAAAAGTAAATCTGTAAAGTACCAGCTCAGCATCTAAGTGCTCCTGTGAATGGGAGCTCAGGCAGCTAGATGAAGGCAAAAAGGGAGCTGTGGGGCACAAGGACAACTAAAAGGTGCCCTAAAGTCCCTTCCAGCTTCCAACTCATGGCACTGTGTGGCCGTGTAAGGTTCATCCTGGCTGTGGTTGCTCAGAGGCTTGCTGAGAATCTGACATCCAAATTGTTGCTGAAGGAAGCTGCAAGCTCAGCTGAGAGGCCAGCAATAGTCATTATGGACTATGGGGTTCAAATGCCAGCAGTTTAGTTTCAAAAGATCTTTTCTTCTCTTTGGAGCTTGTGCACAGCTATTTTTATTTTTTTTTCTGTCTCTTTATTCTCCTTGTTAAGAGGGTATTTCTTTTCCTCTTGCAGAAATCACTTTCTCTTTTTGGTAGATGGCAGTGTGAGCTCCTGCAGTGTCAGAGCAGTCCCTCATATTTTGGGCAGAGGAATGTATCTGCTCTCAGTGTCTGTGCCCAGCTCTGCCATCAGCTCGTTCAGTGGGTGAGTCACTCGTGTGCATGTCTCCATTTCTCCATCCCTATGGCAGGCAGGACATCAGTGGCTGTGTCACACTCGTTGTTCCACTGGGCTGGCAGATCCTGCAATGCCTGTGGCACAGGGCTCTGGCTGCAGAGCAGAGAGTCTTGCTCAGAGGAGCTTTCCATATGCACTCTGTTTACCTGTTGAAACAGGGTACATCTTAAAAAAACCCAACAAACTGTCTGTTTGACAGAAGGTTTACAAGGGACATTCACAGCAACTGAGGTATCAGGGCAGGCTGCCCTGTCCTGCCTTGGGTTTGGGAGAAGCTCATCAGAGCCAGAGCTGGTATCATGGGTTGGTATTCCCCAGTGAAAGAGATTATTTTCCTTGGAAAAAAGACCCACAGGCTCCTGATCACTCATTGCCTTGTTTCCCCTTCCATTCACTTTTTAATTATGTCATTTCACACAGTAAGCTACTTAAAGGAACACAAGGGACACCCCGCTTGATACACTGGTCACTCCACAGCATCTCCTGGGAAATTCAGGATTTCTATGTATCCAGCTGTCTGAAGATGTCTTTTCCCCATGACAGCATCTGTGATGGGAAGGAAGACAGCTTTGGAGTACCACTACAAGCCCTGCTCTGCAAAATGTCAGCTGGCAGCTTCCCTGTTGGGGTGTTCATGCACTTCTTTGCACCCTGCCCTATTTCCAGGTTCCTCAAAAGGACTGTGTGGGAATAGCAGTGACAGCCACTGACAGCATCAGGATGGAAGACTCAAATGGAAGAGTTGCTACTTATTATCTAGTCATTGGAGCTGCATAAATGTCGATTTTCACCTCAAAAAGCCAGCAAGAGGCGGCAGGTGCACCTTTCCTGTGCCTGACATGGTTCACAGGTACTGGGAGAGCTGGAGCAGCTCCAACACCTACACTTGTGAGAGTTGGTAAACATAAATATTCACCTTAACATAACTGTGACACTTAAGTCTAGCAGTACTCTGATTTAAGACCTGTATATTGACCTGCCAGCAGCCCTCAGCTTCCTGGCTTCAGCAGCGTGGCACCCTCTCCTTCTGGATGCAACTTCAGGATGAATTCTTCACTCTAAAGCTCCCCTGCTATATATTTCCAAAGCAATATAGGCATGGTTAATATTTATAAATAGTGAGGATTTCTACCCTGCTTCAGCATTCATTATTGTTGCAGTGATTCAAACCTCCAGCATAGACAGGAACTGCCTTGAGCTGAAATTGAGGAACTATCTAATAAAATATAGTCATGAGATGAATAGGAGTTATACAGTTGAAGTGCCTTGAGCATGCTTGAAAGATTTATTTCCTGGCTTCCTCTGGAGGGCTTTTTAATAGGAAGGATTTGACTCTGTGTGTGTGCATACATCCATATAAGAGAGAAAAATATTTTAAAGTTTTAAGGGGGGAAGGGGACATTTACACTTCTCGAGGAGGTGCTACAGAGAAAGCATTCTTTATTTTCCATGGACCTGCTATATTTACAGCTGCTGAATTTCCTGTAAGAAAACAGATGTGAGTGCACCATTCACAGTCTTACAGGAAAATCTGCTGTACAGTTGTGGTACATGCAGGGAGACAAAGCTGTAGTGCCTGAAGACTTCACTGTGGAGTGGGATGTGGGCAGAGATTGTATTTGAGCTCAGAGGAGGAAGAGGCTGCTGGAGAGGATTCTGTAGCCAGACTCAGATTAAGGAGAAATAAACACCAGTTAAAAAATATGTATTATGTAACTTCAGAGCAACAACTCCAGGGTCTGAAAAAGGAGAGCTCAGTTATCGTTTCCTACTCTCATATCCCTTTGATCTGTATGCCTGTCTTACCACACATCTCTTCTGTCTCAGATGCAACTCCTCCATTGCTCCTAGGATTCTTGCTCCAGAGGCTGTAAGTAGGGGGGAAATTAGGCAAGGAAATTCCTAGGACTCTTCTCCTCAGCCTTTCTGAGCTGCATAGATAAAGCAGTGACAATTCAAAAACAGAGAGTGTCCCATTGTTGCCAGCCAGAAGAGAGAGCCATTCCAAAGGGCTCTTTAGAATATGGTTGTGATTCTGCCTTAGGGGGGGAAAGAGTCTGTTTGACCTCCTTAATCCTCTCTTATCACTGTTATTACCTTAAGTATAATAAGTTACACAAAACAGCACCTCAGAGGTGTTCTCCAAATAACACTGTAAAGATGTTCCTTTGTCACCCCATGGGATTTTAGGTTCTCTCATAATTTTCTTCCATTTCTAAAGCCTGCAGCATACATCCCAAGTAATGCTTCTCCCTTGTTTACCTGACTTTGAAACACCTAGTTCGCAGACCCTGCTGATGTTAAGATCATTGTTCTTGATGCACATCACCTCAGAACTGGCCAAGCTGATGACTGAATCTACCTCCTTTAAGAACAGCTCATCCTATCCTAGGTGACCTGAGCAAAGTAGGAATAATCCTCTCTCTTTCTCTCTCCCCCTCTCTAGGGAGGATAGAACTCAGTTTCCTCCAGCTCTGTAATTTCTGGACAGACACAGGAGTGAGCCCACACCTAAATTTAACCCTGCATCCAGACCCACCCCTAGTATGCTATGGTAACAGGAGTGGAACAGAGTTGGTGAGCCACCCTCTACTTGAATTGCACCTTTTGTCATCTCCTTGGCATGTAAAATACTGTCTTGCATTCATGTGCTGTTCATGTGGGAGTAACCTGGGGCAGTCTGAGCATAGGAAAATCTGTACATGTAGGAAAAGAAGTGGAGTTGCCTTCAGCAAGACAGCCTCATTTGACCCTCCTCCTTCCTTTACAGTTGCTGTTTCAGCTGGGACAGAGAAGAATGAGGGGACTGAGGCTAAGGCCAGATGTTGGCATCAGGCACACAGGAGCTGAACAGGTTTTCTCCATGCCTTCCTGCCAGTGCACATTAATCCTGAGCCACAGTGCCCTCTGTCATTCCAGCTCTTGATCCTTTCCCTTAATCCTTCTATTTATACCTTCTGAGCTGGAGTCTCCTTTCTTATGTGCCAGTTTTACACCGGTATAAATTCATGGATATCTGTGGGTTTGTTACTGGCTTACTCTCACCCACAAAAGAAGAGAATTAGACTCATCACTTCTGGGTACCAAATGGAATATCCCCTATCCCTTGGTTTTGTAAATACTTCTTTTGTTCCTATTTTTCATCAGCCTGCTCTAACACACATCAGCGTGATGTTATTTTGGTGCTAGGTTCCCAAAATGTACCCCACGGTGCTGCTGCTGAAGCTGTGTCAGGGACAGTAGATACCTGCAACTTCCTCCATGCTGAGTCAATTTGGGATAGACTCTTCCAGGGTTGTGTTCCTTGGCACCAGCATCAGCCAGGAGATGTCCACCAGCAGCCTTTTATTTTTCTGAGCTTCACCCCTCCACATTCAGCCTGGCTAATGTAGTATGTCCCTAGGATTGTTTAGCACTCCTCACAGTTCCATTGAGGAGAGCCAGTTAAGGATTTGGACCTTCCTGTTATCCATACTGGCCAAATGGAGGAAAAGGCCAGGACTTGTCTTGCCTAGAACTGAAATCTAAAGGCAGCATGATATGTTCTTAATAAAGGAGTGATTATATGAATCACAGTAGCAAAATGTTCTGCAGAGCACATGCCCCACTCCCTGACTTAAGCATCCAAGGGCAGATGTCCATCATTCCAGAGGAGGGAGTCTCCTGGGGCAGGGGTTAGTGTGAAGCCCCCTGTGTTACAGAGGAGTAGCTGCAACCCAGAGTCTCTTTTAAAGAAGTTGCTTGTGGCTGTTTATTGGACGAAAATAAATTCCGACTGGCCCATATAACAAATGAAACTCAACTACAAAAATGTAATGATATTTATTCACCCAGCTGCCAGCAAATTCACATGCACTATGAGTCATTCCAGATGTGGATAAAAACAAAGTCTGTCTGTGAAAGTAAGTTTCCTGATCCCGAGGAGACTTGGTTTGGGAGAGGAGCTGCTCGCTGACTTCAGCTCTACTCAGAAGAACAGACAGGTTCTTCTGCAAAGGGGGAGGGGGAGAGGAAAAGCCATTATTTATTCCTGAAAAGAAAGGAGCTTGGAAAATAAAAAAAAGCTACTGTACAGCTAGACATACGTATTTTAGAGAGAAGGATGCTTTGGAAGACTTTGGTGCTGCTGCTGTTCTATTACAGTGCTCATGCCACTCTAACCCACAGATGGAGCAGAGGTAAGATTTCAACCTGAAAAACTATTTAAGGAAAAAATTTGAGTTGTAGATTTGTTATGAAATTATGTTGCATTAAACATGTGTCTGTGTATATATAGATGTATACACACATATATATATATTATTCCCTCCCAACTCTAGAATTTTTTTTCTGCGTTAAACCGGTCAGGTAAAAAATACATAGATAAATAAAAAATACACATGAATAAGTGCAAAAAGGTAAAATGGTATATGTATTCTATTATAATAAAAATATATAAAATAGCCTGAGAACCAGAATTACATTATTGCACTTTTCCCCCTCTTAAATCTAATTTTTCACCTGCATTAACAAAAAAATATAGCTTATGAAACCTTAAAGTGAAAGCCTGTGCAGTCACAGAAGGCATAATCTACTCTAGCAGGAAGGTACCTGGCAAGAGTAAAGCAAAGAATGTCTAGATTGTTCGAGGTGCCTGGGAACGCTGCTGTCCTACCCTGGCAGAGGAGCACAGAGAAAGTGGCCTGGTGTGTTACCAGGCTTCAGCTGCCAATGTGACAATACATGGTTGTGAATCAATTGTAATTTTTTTAAGTGTGACAGCAGCATATGGAATGTTTGGGGATATTGGATTGCATAGGAGATGCTTGCTTCAAAGCTAGTGATGATGTCCTTTCCCTTTTTTGGTTTTATTCTCTCCTCTGGTATTTGGCACTGGTTCAGTAGCTGCTGGAAGTGGAGAAAGGAAACACCTCCCAAAAGATTTCTTTGGTTCTGATATTGAGATTCAGAGGCATTTAAAAGAACCAGAGTCTGCTAAAAAAAATAGAGCATTCAAATGCCTCCCTCCCTACTCCACTCTTCTGTGTCTTTCTCATCTCATAGCTGGTACCATTCCAGTCTGTCATTTGGGTTTGCTTTTGATTTTGTAGGAGAGGGAATGGTTGAGGGAATTGAAGAGGGGCTACACCATCTGTCTCAGGCTATATGAATGCTTAATTTTTCCTTACAATGCTTAATTATTCCTTTCAAAATCCCCTGTTAGTGGGAGCTCACTGGCAGGGCATTGACCTGGGACTCACCATAGCAGGTTCTTTCCACAACTTCTTCATCAGACTCTTGGCTGATATTGCATGGGTCATTGTACCTGCATGTGCCTTACTTTTCTCTTCTGGTGTAAGACTGGAAATAGCACCAATATTTGTCATAAGATCCTGTAATTCTGTAGGTGAGAATTTGTTGTTCCAGTGGTGGCACAAAAATGTGAGAAGATCAGAACTAGATCTCTATATATTAATAAAAAAACCACAGCCCCACCCTTTGGAAGAACGATGTCACCTTGCCTAAGAAATAAAAACAAAAAATTAAAAAAAAGGGAATTCAATTTCATGTAATAATCACTATGCAATTTAAGGATGTCCTTCACTTTTGCTAACACACTAATTTTAATTAAACAACATCAACAGCCCTAAAAGGAATTCATGCAACTATTAAAGTTCAGTTTTAATCACCATGAATATTTAAAGAAAATCATCAGAACTCTATTGTGCCTTTTGGGAAAGTAGATTTATTGTGTTTTTTTTTTCAAGCTGGAGGCTCTAGCACTTATTTTTGGAGACTTCAGAGGGAAGAGAATATTCATTCCCTGTCATAATAAGGAGTTCAGTTGTCACAAATTGTGTGTACAGATATTTTTTGAGGAGGAGACCAGATTTCTTTTCCACATCTACTGGGACTGTTCTGCTCTAAAGATGTTTTAGAGGCATGACTCCTTCAGCAATAATTACTTCAGTGGACCTCCACTCCCTTGAACCGTGTGTCAACCCAACCAAATCTGCAATATTTTGAAAGGGTCCAAGCACTGTCTTAATTTTTGAATTGCTTAGAAACTAAGATAAAATTTGAGTACTGAGAAATGACACATTCTTCTGCATACTCAGAGCTCTTCCCTCCCTCCACAAATGACAACTGAGTCTTGTTTAGGTTAAACTTCAGTCATTTAAGTCTTATCCAAGTCCTGATTTGAGTTTTGCAATGAAAAGGCAAAGACAGATCAGCATCTGGTCTGACGGAAATGAAAGTCAGATCTGTGTGTCAGCTCTATGTTGTCTTGTCATCCAGATTGTTTACAAAGCAGTAGGGCAAAGGTCTTGTTTTAATTGCCAGCAGTTGTTGTTTGCAGTAGAAATGAGCAGTCAATATTGTATACAACAATGCCTGGCTTTGACCATTTTTCCTCTGGGAAGCACTGGGGCAGCCTGGGATCCCCAACCCTTGTAACCAATTGTCCAAGCTTTGGCTCAAGGAAAATTCAGACATGAGAAAAAGATGAACACACTCATACTGACTGGTGGCTGGAAACTCCTGACTGCTCCCTCCCTTTTCCCTTTGCTTGGAAGCACTAATGAGTGGGGAGAAAAGAAAATAATAAGCAATTCTGGCAGGAAAACAGAGGGCTTTATTAATTCTTTTTTTCTTTTTAAAGTGCCCCAGCCCTTTGCATTAAAAATCTCACACTCCTCAACCTGCCTTGACTGAGCTGTGGACACGAGTCTAGAAGTCACAGGCAAATCTTAGTCCCTAGGATGGGTGTGTTTAAAATAACAAAGACAAGATCCTGAGTGATGATTAAACGATTTTCTTGTCATCACCTCAAGTTTCCTCGAGCCTTTTCTAGCTGCATGGAAGTATTCTCTCAGATTTTGTGAAGCCCCCATCTAGGGGGAAAAAAAGGTAACAAAAAAAGGCAATTAGAAGTCTCTACTGACTAAGTATTATTCCCTGTGCAGTGACAGAGGTGGGGTCATATAAATCCTTCAAGTTCCAAATAAGAATTTCAGATCTTAAGAGATGTTACTTCTGAAGAAACCAAGGAACAAACCCTGGGTTTTAACAACACAAATAAGCAAAAAACCCCTTCCATACAGCTATGGCAACCAGTGTCCCCGCTTGCCATCAAACTTTGAGAAGTACCAATCCACTGGAGAGCAGAAGCCAGCCTTGTGAGCATTACTAGAGCTGTCTGTTCCTGGAGGAGAAACCCTAAGGCAATCCTTATTAGCACATCTCAGGGAGGGAAGATGCAGATTCTTATGGTTGTGGCTTTTGGGCAGTGCAGAAGCAGCTGCAAGGGTGAGTTCACCCCTCAGTGGAGACTGGAGAAGGAGATGTTAAAAAACACAAAATAAGAAGGTAGAATGTTTTTCATTCGTCAGTGTCAAAAGGATATATTAGCACCACAGAGGTTTCATGCTTTTGGGGAGTTTTTGTGCTCTTCCTTCTGGACCTCAAAAGCAGCATTACCATTCCATCCAGATCTGTCTGGTCCATGTGCATTGTTTTCTACCCAATCTATAGTGGCTGGTGAAAGTCAAATGGCTGTGTGAGAACACCAGGGGAACAGTCTGCTCTCCTCAAAGGTTTTCTGCAGAAGGGATTGCTTGGAAGAAAAGAAGGTCCATTCTCCTTGATTTCCCCACAACTTTGCAAACTCTTAGTATCTGATCTAGTGTGGTGAGAGTTCACTGTGGGTTTGATGGAGCAGCTGCTGCCTGAGCAACTTTTGCCTGCTACTTCTGCTTGTGGACTTAACTGGAGAAGGCTGGCAGCTCTCCAGTGCCAGGAGAGGGAAGACTGTAAAAGAGGAAGAGAGATTGGCTGTTGCTAGAAAGCCAGCCAGCACCTTTGTAAGGAAGCACTGTGAATATTCAAAATATTCTAATCTCTGCGGTCATTTGTCTGCTGGCGATCTCTGCTGTGTGCGCAAAGATTGAGTGCCTCAGAAATTGGAGCACGCCCTTTATCCCTACTCCTGTTCATCTTATTTCCCTCTCTTCCCTGCTACATCTCATGCTGCATCCCTACAGCCAGGCACTCCCTGCTTGAGCAGCTTTGGGATTCCACCACCAAGAGTAACTCTTGTGGGACATCTTTGACTTGGAGAGCGAGAGCAAAGGGGATGTGGCCTGAACACAGCCTGTAAGTGCAACACAAATGGTCAAACACATTTATGTACCCAGTGGTCCTTCAGTAAAACAGGTCATGGTCTGCGTTTTTTGATATGTGACAAGGTTTCCAGAGGTCTGGTCCAAGAGTAAAAAGAAGTTACATCAGCTGGACCAGCTATACCAGAAATGTTCAAATTGTAACATCTATCTAGCTTCCTTTAATTTCTATAAAGTTCTTGTTATCCAATCTTAAAATGTGCAGTGCAAATGAAAGATATGAAATGCTGTGGAATAGTGCAAACTCCAAGCCTGGCTGTGTAAAGAATGCTACTTCTTATGAGGAAAAGGCAATATTTCCCTTTTCTCTGGCTCTCATGTGATCACCTGGAAAATGCCTCAACTTCCCTGCTTGTTGGGCCCATCCCAACCTCACTGGAGCTGCAGAAGGCGTGATTGATCTGCTGCAGGGGTTTGTCCCACCTACCCAGAGTCTGTTCCATGACCCTGCCCAGTTCCTGGCAATGTGTGTTTGTGGGCTGGAGCCCCCTGATGCAAATTATTTCTGCACCAAATATTGCAACTCTGTCTGTAAGGAGATGAAGGCATCTCCTAAAGAGGGTCTGGAAAGGGATTAGTTGTAAGTAATGACCAAGCTCCTGGTGTTGCAAAGGTAGCTGGAATATCACAGTCTCTGAATGGATTTTAACCATGGCAGGATAAATATCCAGTAAGGTAGGGCTGTGACTGCAATCAAAATCCATTCTATCATGTCCTGATTCCCAAAATGCTCTTTTAAGGGCCAGTCTTAATTAATTTAACCTGCATGGAGGATGATCCCTGAATCAGAATTCAAAGTGGATACTTGAATCTGAAAGACATGCAAAGGATGATTAAAAAAAAAAATAAATCAAAGTTTCTAATCTCTTCTAGGGCAAAGATGCTAAACTCTGATGAGATCAGAGGAAAGATAGATTATAGAAGTTTTCACATTTTAGTTTAGATCACAAATGGATTTTATACTCTTTAACAGCAGTCATGCTGTTAGGAAGGAAGGATCTAAGTGATCCTGAGAC